CCGTCCACTTGCCTCCTCCTTTTCTCTCCCACCACATGCTTATGCCCCGTAACGCCGGCTCGTGCCTCAGCTGGGGCGCAGGGATCGCCATCCCGTGAACATGACTTGACCAGTGTCGGTGTGGTCGCGCCCGGTCATATAGCCCGGGTGGCGGCGTTGCCAGATGTCGTAGTGGACGATCACCACCGTGCCCGCCTCACCGGTGAGATGGATCTCATCCTCTTCCTGCTGCTGCTCGTTCAGGAAGTGGCTGCGCGGCACGATCGCGGTCGGCCCCATCGTCTCGTCGGTGTCCTGCGGGTAGTAGAACGCCATCGCCCAGCGCGCGTGGTGGTTGCGGCGATTGCCGTCCACGGCGAAGCGACTGTTGTAGAGGCTGTCCTTGTGCAACCTCTGCGGCTCGGTTCCGGGGGAACGGTCGTGGCAGTGGCGGTGCATGTGCAGGTAGTAGCCGTCGCCCAGGATGCTGGCCAGTGCACCGGTCACCTGCGGGTGCCCGAACACCCGCTGCAGCTCCGGCACCTCCGGCAGGATGTTGTTGCGCGGGTTGCCGTTCCGTTCCAGCGCCGTGCCGATGCGCTGGTACACCTGGCGGTGAAACGCCGCCGGCTGGTCAAGCTGCAAGGTCAGAGATAGCCGTCGATCAGAAACCGCTGCAACTCAGCGTCGGTCAGGCGGTAACGAGTGTTGTCCATGAAATCATCTCCTACTCCGGCCAATCACAGGCCGGCTTTCACCACTGCGGCCGCGATCAACGGCGCCTTCTTCTTGAGGCCGCACAAGGTCAGCTCGCCACATCGATACCTGCGATACCACTCACGCCGCTGGCGCATGCCGCGTTCGTCGTGAACGAGATGCAGCCTCCCAATGGTGTACTCTCGGCGAGCGGCCGCAGTTTGCAGGAACTGAGGCAGCCACCGCCAACTGCGCGACGGAAGGATGATCTCGAACCATCCTTGCTTGACGGTAAACGGATCCATCAGGTCAGACGCTCGTACCCGCTTCTTGCTGGAGTTGATCCAGCCTGCGCTGTACCGGTAGTTGGCCCACTCATACGCCTTCGAGCGATCCTCATGCCAACTCACGAAGTGGTCGACCGTTCCAACTGCCTCGTACATTGCCGAATATGCACAGAGGAAGTGGAAGCCCGTAGCGAGGTCTCCTCCTTGAACCGAGACCAGAAGTCTCTTGGACGGCTCGCATGGGGGTGGGCCGCACGCCACCGGTTGCCCGGTATTCTCGCCCGCTTGTCGAAGCTGCGTGGCTCGGGAACCGGGTCGAAGTGGATCATACTTGGCGAAGCCAGCACCAGAGGCGAATGTGTGGCGGCCAAGAGTTGAACCTTTGGATTGTGAGCGTCGGACAGTATGTTCATCACCTTGAGCACAGCCGGCACGACGGCCCGCTGCCAGCGCGGATGAAGATGTGCCTCGATTTCGTCGAACAACAACACGATTTGGCGAGTGCTCTCCAGTCCAAGCTGCTCTGCGGCGCGGAGGTGCTCGCTCCACGACCACACCAGCATATAGGCGAGTGCGGCGATCCTGCGGCTGACACATCCTGCGGACAGCATGCCAATCTGATTGCGTCGGAGTACTCCGTCCTGATCGACGGAATATCCTGCGCATCGTTGACGGACAGGCGCACAATCGGCCCGACTTCCACCGGTTCCCCTTGGACGGTCAAGTGGGGCCGAGACCGCGTCATGAGAATTCCGCTCCGTGCCCGTCGCTCCCTCCGCTCTGATCCAGCTCGACCAGTCGTCGAGCAGCCCCTTGCACACATCGTGGTCAGCTTGGGCCATAGCGCGTTGATGGTCCACGCGCTCAGTGGACCAACGTGTTCCCGGACAGCCTCCTGTTGCGGCAAACACTACGAGACGACGAGAATACAGCGACAAGGCAGAGAACGCGAGGATGACTCGAGTATCGTGAACGAGGCTGAGAAAGAGAAAGAGAGCGCTATACTAATAGAGCGAGAGGAGATCGGGCCCGGAGAATTACACCGCACGTGTCTGGGACTGGCCAGCACGCTGTACCGCGGACGACGATCCGCGCACACTCTGAGTAGATTCTATAGCTGCACCATCGACGTGAGCGTAAACTACAAGTCCCGCGTTATACGGTCGTCCCGGTCGTCCGGGCCAGCCTTCGTCCAGCGCCGAGTAAGCGCTCTCGTAGCTGCGACTGTCGCCGGTTGCCGTACGTACGGTTAACCGCAACGTTGCGGGCTCTCTGACGTTCGTAGGTCGCGCGGCGTAACCACGCGGCGGTCAGCGCGATTCAGGTTTTCGGGGTCACACGATCGGGCCAGTTGCGGGTCAAGGCCCACCAAGCAACGTCGAGCAGGAAACTCTTGCCGAGCCCATTGTCTCCGGTGATCAGGTTGATCCGGGGAGCCAGCTCCGCGCCATCGCGGGCGCGGGGCCGACGTTGGCAAGCTCCAGCCGTTCAAGCATCCGGGACAGACGATACCGGGGGGCGTGTGACAACACTGCAACACACTGTGCCTTGGTGTCCGGTGTACGGCGGCTGATCCGTACGGCGAGCATCTGTGCAGCGCGACCGGGTTCGGGATAGGGTGGATGGGATGAGTACGCCACGCTACAAGGCGGCGTTGATCGGCTGCGGCAATCGCAGCCGCATGCACGTGCGTTCCTACGAGCACGTGCAGGACGCGGTGATGACCGCCTGCTGCGACCTGATCGAGGAGCGCCGTACCGGACACGCCGGCGAGTACGGCCTGACTCCGTATGCCGACGCGGCGCAGATGATCGAGCGGGAGCGGCCCGACATCGTCCATGTAGTCACCCAGCCGGCGGACCGGGCGCCGCTCATGCACCTGGTGGCGGAGCTGGGCGTGGCGGCGGCGGTGGTGGAGAAGCCGCTGGCGGCCCGTGTCACCGACTGGCGCTCGCTGGTGGAGTTGGAGCGCGGCTGCAGCACCAGGTTCACCGTGAGCCACCAGTTCCGCTGGCACGTCGATCTGACCCGCTGCCGGGCGGCGCTGGAGTCGGGGCGCCTGGGCGCGGTCAAGTTCCTGGAGACCTCCTGCGGGATGAACATCTCCAATCAGGGTACCCACGCCCTCAACTACATGATGTCGCTCAACCGCGACTCGCGGGTAAAGATGGTATTCGGCGCCGCCAGCGGGATGAGCGGCAGCGATCCGACCCACCCCGCGCCCGACACCAGCGTGGGCTACCTGCTGTTCGAGAACGGCGTGCGCGGCATGTGGAACGCGGGCACGACCGCGCCGCTGATCGGCGATCCCGACACCACCTACCAGCACGTTCGGGTTGCGGCGTACGCGGAACGCGGGCGGGTGCTCTACGAGGAGTTCCGCGACTGGGAGATCGTCGGACCCGACGGAATCGAGCGCGGCAACGTCGGCGATACGTGGGCCGCCAACAACGTGCTGGCGCAGGCCGCGCTGAGCCGTGCCACGCTGGACTGGCTGGAGGACCCGGCCGCGCTCCCCGGCACCAACCTCAACCAGTCGCTGCACGAGTATCGGACCGTGCTCGCGCTGTACGCCAGCACGCTGCAGCGGCGTCCGGTCGAGATGGCGTCGTTCGAGCCGGACGACGACCTGTTCGAGCAGCTTACCGCGGCGCTGAGTTGACGGCGTGAGCAGCGCTGACAGCCCGGTGCACCCGCCCGCGCCGCCCCCGGAGCGCGACCTGCGCGTCGTGCTGGTGCGCCCGGAGGAGGGCCGCAATGTCGGCGCCGCCTGCCGCGCCGCAAAGACCATGGGCATCGAGAGCCTCTACCTGGTGACGCCCGGGGCGATCGATTGGCGTGAGGCCCGAATCGTCGCGGTGCATGCGGCGGACGTCCTGCAGCGCGCGGTGACCTGCGGCGATGTCGCGGAGGCAGTGCACGGCTGTACCCTCTCCGCGGCGGTCACCCGGCGCGACGGCAAGCAGCGCAAGTACCGCATCTGGACCGCCGAGCAGCTCGGGCAGCGGCTGGCGGTTCGCCGGCCCGGTCCCGTGGCGCTGGTGTTCGGCAACGAGAAGAGCGGCCTCTCCGATGCCGAGATGGAGCCATGCCAGGTGGCCGTAGCCATCCCCTCGTCGCCCCGGTTCCGTCGCTCAACCTGTCGCACGCGGTGCAGGTGGTGGCCTACGAGGTGTACAAGCACGGCACAGCGCACGCCGGACGCGCCCACGCCAGCGCTCCGTCGGCACCGAGCGCGTGGCGCGCATGGCCGAGCCGCTGACTCGCGCCCTCGCCGAAGTGGGGTTCTTCAGCAGCGCCGGCGCGCGCAGCGTGCAGCGCTTCCTCACCGACATCCTGACTCGCGCCGACCTGGTGGACCGTGAGGCACAGCGGCTGGAGCGGATCTGCACAACGTCGGCGGGGTGGTGTTGCGCACCAAGCGCTGATTCGGGACACGGTTCGGCGCGCTGGCGGCCACTGTGCCTTGGCCACGACGGCGCCACGGCTACCATAGGGCCGTTATGGTGCGACTCGGTAGTGTGATCATGGGCGATCGGGAAGGCGACGCGGCGGTGGGCGCCGCGCACGGATCGGCGGGCGCCGACGTGTACGCCTTGGCGCGGGCTCACCGCGAACGCGGCCTGAGCGCCGCCTACTGTCCCAAGGTGGAAGTTGACGACCACGCGCGGATGCGCGACATCCGCAACGCCTTCGCCGCGGAGGGCATCTGCTGGCGGAGGTGGGCGGCTGGCGCAACATGCTGCACCCGGATGCCGCCGAGGCGCGGCGCGAGCGGCAGCGGATGGCCGAATACCTGGCCATCGCCGACGAGGTGGGGGCGCTCTGTGCCATCACCTGCATCGGCTCGCCCGGCGGCCCCGGCCAAGGCTCCCACGACGCCTTCAACTTCACCCCGGACGCATTCGACGCGGCGGTGGAGAACGCGCGCTGGCTGATCGACACGGTCAAGCCCAGACGCACCCGCTTCGTGTACGAGATCTATCCCTTCAGCGTCGCGGATTCACCGGCCAACATCCGGCGCCTGCTGGACGCCGTCGATCGGCCCCAGTTCGCCGCGCACATGGATCTGGTGAACCTGGTGAACTGCCCGCGGCTGTACTACGAGAACGCCGCCCTGGCCCGCGAGAGCGTGCGCCTGTTCGGCGACCGCATCGTTTCCGCCCACGCCAAGGACCTGGCGATGCAGGAGCAGGTCAGCGTGATCATGCATGAGGTCCGTCCGGGCCTCGGGGTGATCGACTACCGCGCCTACCTGCGCGTGCTCCACGAGCTGCCGCAGGCGGTGCCGCTGATGCTGGAACACCTGTCGACCCAGCACGAATATGACCTCGGAGCCGACTACATTCGCGGGGTAGCCGCCGCCGAAGAAATACCCCTCGCCTGAGGGCCCCTACTCGGAAACCCAGATGTTGGCGAAGCGTATCGGGGAGGCGTCGGCCTGCAGCCGCAGCGGGCCCTTGCCCTGCCACGCTTCCGGCAGCTCGGTGAAGCCGCGCGGCGTGGGCTCGGTCACTACCACGTCATGGTGGATGCGGCTGCCGTTGAGCCAGACCGAGAGGCGGCCGCCGTCGTACTCCACTTCCAGTTCCTGCCAGGTGCCCGACGCGCCGACCGCGTCGACGTCCGGCGCCTTGAGACCGTTCAGGGCCCCGCAGCGATATTCCGGCGCCGACTCCGGCGCCGGCCCGCGCAGCTCGATCTCATAGCGCCCGGCAACGAACACGCCACCGGTGCCGCGCACTGTCCCCGGCACCCACTCCGGTTCCTGCGGGAGCTGGAACTCCAGGTGCAGCCGGTGCGCGCCGAACCGTGCCTCGCTGTAGATGTCGCCGTAACCCGGCACCGCCGTCAGTACGTTGCCTGCGGCGGGCCAGCGGCCGGCGTCGAAGCGCTGGCCGCCCGCGGTGCTCTCGGCGCGCCGGTCCAGCCGCATCCCCGGCGGCTGCCGGCCGGGGTCCCAGTGCCGCCAGCCGGTCAACGGGGCGCCGGTGAACAATACCGTGGCGCTGTGCGGCGGCCGTCGCGGCGGCGGCGGCAACACCCCGGCGCTCTCTCCCGGAGCAGCTCCGCCATCCCCCTCGCCCAGGCACCAGACGATGGCGTTGCGCAGGAGCTGGGTGAACGTCGGCACTTCGAAATGCTCCGCGCTGCCCAGCGAGGAGAAGAACACGCGCGAGCTCGGAGTGTAGCGGTTGACCCACGCCACCGGCTCCGCCGGCAGCTCGCCGGTCTTGCCGAACATGAGCGGAGTGGCGGTGTCGGCCAGCGGCACCGCGTTGTAGGTGCCGCCGTAGCCCATCTCCGTGACCCGCGGCAGGTCACGCACGATCGGGTGGGAGGCAGCCGGGGGGTGCACCACGGCCAGCGTGCCCTGCTGGTTGGGAGCGTGGCTCATGTAGTGGCCGCCGAAGTAGTCGGGCACCAGCCGCGGGCATTGCTGAACGCGTGGCTGGTGGTGCGCAGCCCGACCGCGGGGCGCCCGGAGGCAAACCAGTCGTGCAGCGTGCGGAGCTGGTCGGGAGTGGGGTTGCGGAACCGCACACAGATCACCAGCAGACTCGGCGCCGTCGAGGCCGCTGAGGTCGAGCGGTCGGCCTCGTCGCCACGCTCAGCACCGCCTTGCAGCCGAGCTCGCTGGCTACCTGCTCCGCGAAGGTGGGATGGTGCGTTCGGAGTGGTACTCCCCCTCGCCTACCAGAAAGAAGATCGTCTTGCTCATGTGTTTTCGCTCGCTTGTTGCAGCTTGTCCGCTACCTCGGCGACCACCGCCGGCCGGCCGTCGCGCAGACTCGCTCCGTGGAATACTCCCGTTACTATACGCCGTCGCTCGGGAAGGAGAAAGATGGCCTGATGGAACAGGAACCGGATGTGGCCCTTCGGTTCCACCCTGAGGGTGATCTCGAACCGGTCGCCGCTGCGCAGCGGGTAGTGATAGTCCACCTCGGCCCGCACCAGGACCAGATCGATGCCGCGATCATGGAGGGCGGCAAAATCGATGCCGAGCTGGCGCAGATACTCGTGCCGCGTGTGCTCGCAGTATTGCTGGTAGACCGCGTTGTTGACGATCTGCTGCAGATCGCACTCGTAGTCGCGCACCTTCATCTGCAAGCTGAAGTGGGCATCCATCACCGGCAGCAGATCTCCTCGATCATGGCGGCGTACACGTCGACCGCGCGGCGCAGTTGCGCGAGCGAAATGAATTCGTTCTCGGTATGCGCCTGGGCGATGTCGCCGGGACCGAGCACCACCAGTTCGACATCGTCCATGAACGCGAACGCATCGGTGCCGAAGCCCACCGTTTCGGCACGCCCGGAGCCGGTCGCCCGCCTGGCGATCGCCACCACCCGGCTGTCGGGCGGCACCCGGAACGCCTTGCCGGAATATGCGTCGCAGTGCAGTCCATGCCGCTCCGCCTTGTCCTGGATGATCGCCATCAGGTCGTCGCTGCGGTCGCCCGGCATAGGGCGGAAACCGACCGTGCATACCGTCTTGGCAGCGGTCACGTTGGGGCGCGTACCGCCGTCATCGATGGTGACGTTGAGGCAGTTATGCGGCGGTGTGAACTCGTGATTCAGGAACGACTCGTCGCGCTTGACCTCGTCGGCGAGCACGGCGATTTCGGCCAGGAAGGGAGCCATCAGCAGGGTGGCGTTGATGCCCTTGCCGGTGCTGCTGTGCGCCGCCCGCCCGTGGGCGGTGACCACCGCCAGCGAACTGGCCTTGTGGGCGTACACCGGAAGCAGCCGGGTCGGCTCGGTTATCACGCCCAGCGTGGGGCCGCCCCGGTACAGACGAGACCGCTCGGCTACGTGCACGGCGCCGCGCCCGGTCACCTCCTCGTCCGCCGTCACCACCACGTAGACCGGACGCGCCAGGCGCTCCTCCGGCACCGCGGCCGCCGCCACGATCGCGGCCGCCAGCGGGCCCTTCATGTCGCAACTCCCGAGCCCGACCAGGCGATCGCCCTCCACCTGAGGCGAGAACGGATCGCCCGTCCAGTTATCTCCCGGAACGGTGTCGCTGTGGGAGAACAGCCCGAACCCGCCGCTGCCGGTGCCGCGGCGCCCGATCAGGTTCACCTTGCGCACCCCGTCCGGATCGTCGTACTCCAGCCGCTCCAGTTCGAAGCCGGCACCCTCCAGAACCTGCTGCAGCAGGTCGCTGACGGCGGCGTTGCCGTGCCTGCTCACCGAGTCGATCGCCACGAGTTGCTGCGTCAGTTCGACGGCGTCTCTATACATGGCTCCGATTGTGCGGGACGGCCGCGTCCTTGGGCAACGCTTCGACAGACTCCTAGTCGCCGAACGGGGCGTATTTTCGACGTACCTTGTCGGTCACATCGCCGATGTCGTAGCCGGTGGCGTACAGCCAGTGCTTGGCGCCCTGCTCCGACACATAAGTGAACTCCTTGGCCAGCGCCCGGCTTGCGCCGCCGGGACCCTCCATGTCGTACAGCTCGCCCACGTAGGCGCCGAACGAGCCATGCTCGGCGACAATGGCGGCGATGGTACGTGCATTCCTGACCACCGCCGCCAGCTTGGCGCGGTACTTGATGACCCGGTCATCGGCGGCGATGCGGTCCACGTCAGCGTCGCTGAACGCCGCAACCCGGTCCACGTCGAAGTTGGCGAACACCTCCCTGAAGCCGGGCCACTTGCCGTCGACCACCTGGCGGTTGAGGCCGCCCATGAAAATGATCCGTGCCGCGGCTTCCAGATAGCCGCCGTCGGTGTCCGGTTTAGGGGGATGCATGCGGACAGCTTACGCTATCGGGCGCTTCCCGTCACTCGGCGTCGCGGCGGGGTGGCGAGGGCGCTACTCCGGCATCTCCGCCACAATCATCGGTCCCCGGCGAATGTGGTCACCCAGGGACACTTCATCCTGGGCGTACTGCACTCTCAGCAGCGATTGCGTGGTACTCGGGAGCGAGAAGGAATCAGCCTGCGTCAAATCCACGCGGTAACCGAGGTCCGCCAGCGATGCAATGGTCACCTTGCTGAGCGGCTGGGCCGTCTGGGCATTCACCGAAATCGTGGGAGTCATCAGCTCGCCGCCGAACACCGACTCGCGCCAGTGTCCGTCCAGGCCTCCTGCACCGTATCTCGCCGTGTTGTTTTCCACCGGCACCTTCTCGCCGCCGGAATAGGAATTGCCGCCGATCTCATTGAAGGCGTTGCGTGCGGCCTGGCCGGCGAAATGGGTGTCGGGCAGCGTGCTCTGCCCCGGATTGTTCTGCAGATACTCGACGGCCGAATTCCGCAGCAGGTGGTCCCACTCGCCAGAGCTGCCGTATCCCAGCACGTGCGCCATTTCGTGCACGGCCAAGCGTTGCAGACCCACCGTGCCGAGCCGCGCCAGGTCGGCGGTGTCGATGGTCAAGTCGCCGATCAGCGGCAAGCCGCCGGGCCGCCATAAGCATGGTCCCGCGAGACCGATCGTCCCGCTCGGCCCGTCGATGGGCGCCAGTCTGATGTCGATGAGCAGGTCGTCGATGTGGGCCCCGAAGACGGACGGGCTGCCCTCACACCCCCATCGCGAGTCGAGAATGGCAAACCGCGGCAGACCGCGGGTGATGACGCTCTCCCAGATGTCGGCGGCGGCGCGGAAAGCGCTTTTCTGAGCGTCCGTCGGCGGCGTGCCGAGATAGCGCAACTCGATGTCGAACGAGGCGTCCGACTCCGTCCAAGCGGTCAACCAGACGGCCACCTCGTAACGGGTCGCGGACGCGCCCGATACCCGGACGTAAAGTTCTGCAGAGGTGGCCAGTCCGAGATCGACGAGCGCCACGTCGACGCTGTCGCTGTTCGTGGAGGTGTAGCCCATGCCTTCGATTCTTACGACGGTGCCCGCCGGGTAGCCGGGGTCCCCTACCCGCCCAGCGTCGGCGGCCGCCGACAGGATACCGCTGGAGGTCACGGTAACCCTGAAGAAGTCGATGTCGGTTGTGGTTTCGAGCCGGCCGGAAACAGGAGATGCCCGGGTGATGGAGGAAGCGGTCGCGCGCGTGTCGCCGTGATCGTCGGCGGGAGCATCGTCGTCGTCACGGATCACGCCGACCGCGGTGTCATCCCCCAGATCCGCATTCACCGGATCGAGCAGGTGCACCGTGAACTCCTCCTGAGTGCCCTCATCCAGATCGTCCTGCAGAATCGGCACCCGGATGGTCTGCGACGGGATCCCACCGGGGCTGAAGGTGAGTTCGCCCTCTGTCTTCGTGAAGTCGGATCCGATCTCCGCCGTGGCGTCGTTGGTTTCGTAGAATACCGTCACCACCTCGGCGCTTGGCCGGTTCAGCGTCACCATGAACAGCATGAACCCGTCTCCCTCGTTGGCGCTGCTGTCGGCGATGTCGAGATGGGGCGGACTTTCGATGATCGGTCGGGAATCGTCGTTGTCAGTGATCGTGCCGGTGGCCTCGGCATCGCGCAGGGTCGCGTTCACCGGCGAGTGCAGCCTTACCTTGAACGACTCCTCGTCCGCCTCGTCGTCGCTGTCATCGGTGATCGGGATTACGATGGTCTGCTCGAGCGGCCCGCCGGGTGTGAACCGCAACGTGCCGTCGGTCCACAGGTAGTCCTCAGGGCGATCCCATGCTGAGGGTACTGGACATCCCATGATTGAGTCGATAGGCTGTCGCTATGCAGCTTCAGGAATTGCGCGACGAGCTGCTGTTGGCGGCAACGCCAGCGGGCTTCTCGCTGGACGAGGTAGTGGTGCGGTTGGTGCGAGCGGACGAACGGATCAAATGGGACGTGCTGATGGATCAGCATCACTACCTGGGCTTCAAGCGGTTTGCCGGGCGCGGGCTGCGCTATGTGGCGGAATGGCGCGGCCGCTGGATAGCACTGGCCGGCTGGCAGGCCGCAGCCCTCAAGTGTGCGCCACGCGATCGCTGGATTGGATGGCGCGGCAAGAAGATGTTCAAGCGCCTGCATCTGATCGCGAACAACACCCGGTTCCTGGTGCTGGGTGAGCGCGGGGTATTTGCGAATCTCGGCTCCTGCATGCTGAGCGCGATGCTGCGCCGGCTCAGCGACGACTGGCAGGAGCAGTACGGACATCCGCTGCTGGTGGTGGAGAGCTTCGTTGACCCGGCACGGTTCACGGGCACCATGTATGAGGCGGCGAACTGGAGCTACGTGGGCAACAGCAAGGGCTATGCGCGCAGCAACGGTCACTACACCGACCCGCACGGCAAGCCGAAGCGGCTGTACGTGCGCGCGTTGCGCAGCGACGCGTGCGACATACTGCGCCAGCGTGGTGAATTGGCCGACTGCTGGCAGGCGCGAGTGCCGACGGCAGGCGGCAACGAAGTTGACAAGCGCAGTCTGTACGAGGAATTGCAGAAGCTCCCGGATCACCGCCGCGGGCAGGGCCGCAAGCATTCGCTGGCGACCGTGCTGGCGGTGTACCTGCTGGCGATGTTGTCCAACATGCGTGGGCCGGTGGCGGCCGCCGAGTACGCGCAGGCGCTCGAACAGGAGGAACTGAAGCTGCTGGGGGCGTGGCGCAACCGCGCCACGGGACGCTACGAGCCGCCCACCAAATCGACCATTCACCGGGTGGTGATGGCAACCGATGCCGAGGCGCTGGAAGCGATGCAGCAGCGCTATGCGACGGCGCGCGTGCCGGCCTCCGGAGCGCAGGAGCAACGGCAGGCACTGGCGGCCGACGGCAAGCGGATTCGCGGCGCCAATCGCAACGGCACGATGCGCTACGAGACCGCGACGCTGGTCGAGCACCGCACCGGCGTGCCGGTCGCGAGCCTCAACTTTCACGACCAGAACGGCGAACTGGCGGCGGTCGGGGCACTGCTGGAGGTGGTTCCGATCAGTGGCGCGGTGATCACCCTCGATGCGCTGCACACCACTCGCGACACCACCGTCAGCATCGTCGAGCAGCATGGCGCCGACTATCTTCTGACCGTCAAGGGGAACTGTTCGGAGACCTTCGAGGCACTTGCCAGCATGCCGTGGGAGGACGCTGCCGGGCGCTTCTCCGAGGACCCGCAGAAGGGCCATGGGCGTATCGACCGGCGCCATATCGAGGTGCTCACGCCGCTCGACAAGACGCTCAACTTTGCCCATGTCGCGCAGGTGTTCCGGGTACGTCGCGAGCGCACCGACCTGAACACCGGGGTCAAGAGCATCGAGTACGCCTACGGCATCACCTCACTGGCCGCCACCTGCGCGCCGCCGCAGCAACTGCTGGCCTGGAATCGCGGCCACTGGGCGATCGAGTCGAAGAACCATCATCGCCGCGACAGGACCCTCTGCGAAGACGCCTGTATGGCGCGCAGCGGCTTCTCGCCAGCCAACCGTGCGACCTGCAACAACATCGTACTGGCGCTGATCCTGCACCACCGCCGGTGGGACAACGCCGCGCAGGCTCTGCGCTACTTCACGCTGCGCCGGAGCGAAGCCTTCAAGGCGCTGCTGGCGCCCGGCTGAGGCAACCTCAGCGCACCACTACCCCAAGTCCCACCAGCGACCTCGTCTGCTCCCGAATCCTGCACTGCGCCAGCACTCTGAAGCAGTGACGCTCCAGCACGCCTCTTCGATCCACACTCTGCTGCTACCGGCCCCAGTTCCTGCTTTGGGGGCGCCACAGCACGTCCCGAATCGACCACTGCATCCGTCATTTCCGTCTCGCCAGCCTCAGTCCCCTACTCGGCGACCTTCTTGTCGATGTTCGCATCGGTCCGCCTTCAAGACTCAGCCGAAGCATGGGATCGCCATTTGACGCGTACACTACGACGTCACGGTCGGAGTGCAAGCGGTCGTCCTGCTCCCCCAAAACTACGGCTCGGGGTCGGCGAGGAACTCGCCGGCGTCGATCCGGGAGCGGGTGGCCACCAGCGCCAGCCGCAGCTCGTCGGGACCGGCGAAGTAGCTGGCGCCGGGACGCAGGAAGTAGAGCGAGGCGACCGGCGCGGGTCCGAGCGCCTGCTGCAGGGCGCGCGCGCGTACAGGGCGAGCTGGCCCAGATACGGAGCCGCCGCCTGTTGAGGCGCCCGCGCGGCACCTCGTCGGTCTTGAAGTCGACCAGGTGCCAGCGGCCCGCGTGCTCGTAGGCCAGGTCGATGGTGCCGTGCACGGGGCGCCGTCCCAGTACCAGCCGAACGCCAGTTCGAAGTGGGCGTTCGTGTCGGGCCGGCGCAGCACCTGCGCCAGCTCGCTGCGTTCGAAGCGGTCGAGCATCTCGTCCAGCTCGGCAAGCGCGCGCAGTGCCGCGGGGGCGCCGCGCGCGGCCGGATGCAGGCGTTCCAGCAACAGCGTCAGTTGGGGACGGACGCCGGTGGTGAACCACGCCCGGATCGCCTCGTGGGCGATGGTGCCGCGCATCAGGGCCAGCCCGTCGCCGTGTCCCGCGAAACGGGTGCCCGCGGACGGCGGGCGCAGCGACGTCACCGGCGTGCTGGAGCGCAGGGGGATCACCGCGGGGCGCTCGACCAGCGGGGCTTCGACCGTCTGCTCGGCGGAGGTCGGCGGTATGGCGATCGCCGCGGGCGGGCCGGTGCGTGCAATGGCGGCCAGGTCGACCGGCACCGGCGGGCGGATCTCCACCAGGCCTGGATCCATGCCGCTCAACGTCTCCTGGCAGACTTCCAGCCAGCACCCGTCTCGGCCGTCGTCGTCGCCGCTCAGATACAGCCGGTCGGCGGCGCGGGTAGCTGCGACGTAGAACAGCCGGCGGTACTCGGCATCCTCCTCGCGGCGGTCGAGCTCGCGCAGGTACCGATACAACCCCGGCCGGCGCCGCCGGTCGCCGGATGCGGCATCCGGATTCAGGGTCACGGCGATGCCGTCCGCCGGGCGCCAGCGCACCACACCGAACGTTTCCGGCGAACGGACGTGCGCCTCCGGCACGAACACGATTGGAAACTCCAGCCCCTTGGCGCCGTGGATGGTCAACAGCCGTACCCCGTCGGCGCGAGCGACCACTGCCAGGCCCTCGCGGTCGGCCAGCTCGTCGCGGCGCCGGTGCAGGTAGGCAACCGCTTCGTCGATCGAGCGGCCGGCAAGCGTGCGCAGGATCGCCACCAGCTTGCGGATGTTGGCCAGCGCCTGTTCCCCGCCGCGCAGGGGCGCCCACGCGGCCTCGAAGCCGGTCAGCGCCAGCGCGCGTTCGACGATCGCGTCCGGCGGCTCCAGCGCCGCCGCCTCTCGCAGCTCCCCGAGCACCGCGGCGGCGTGAGTGCAGCGCCGCCGCTCGGCGCCGGCAAGGCCGTCGGGCGGCGCGGCCAGCACGCGCATCCAGCTCCGGTCCGCGGGGCGGCAGGCGAGCAGCGTCCGGTCGTCGATCATGAACAGCGGCGAGCGCAGCGCGCCGACCAGCGCGATGTGGTCGTCCGGCTCGGCCAGCCATGCCAGCAGGTTGGTCAGGTCGCGCACCTCCTGGCGCGTGAAGAAGCCGGCGCCGGCCGGCGTGACGTAGGGCACGCCGTGGCTCTCCAGGGCCTGCTCGAAGGCGTGCACGTTGGCGAGCCGGCGCATCAGGACGGCCACGTCGCCCGCGACCGCCGCCCGCTCGCGCCCGCCGGCCCCGTCCCACACGGTGGCGCCGCCGCTGAGCAGGGCGGCGACCTCGCGCGCCACCGCGTCCGCCTCCACGCGCCGGCGGGTCCGCGTCACCGTTGCCGCCGCTTCCTGAGGACGCCTTGGCCACCGGGATCACGAGGAGGTGCGGCCCCGCCCGCCCGGCCGGCCCGCGACCCGACATGCGCTGCATGCGGACGTCGCCAGGGGTGTCGCCGGCCGCGAACACCCGGTCGAACAGTGTGTTGCACACCGTCACCAGCTCGTCGTGGGTCCGGAAGGACTGCGTCAGGGCGTGGACGGAGCCGCCCGCTCGCGCGACTTCGTCTTCGTAGCGGTTGAAGTGGGCGACGTCGCTGCCGCGGAACCGGTAGATCGACTGTTTGGCGTCGCCGACCAGGAACCGGTACGGCCCGGTGCCGGGCGCCGTGAGGCGTCGCCGGCGCCGGTAAGCAGGCTGAGCAGGCGGACCTGGGGTTGCGTTCAGATCCTGCGCTTCGTCCACCATGACGTGGCGCAGCCTGCCGCGGTAGCCGGCGGCGATCTCCGGGTGGCGATCCAGGAGGAGGATCGCCTCGAGCTCCAGGTCCAGGTAGTCGCATCCCGACAGGTCGGCCTTGCGCGCGCGGTAGCGGCGGCAGGCGTCCTCGAACACGCTCTTCAGCGCGGCGGTCACCTGCAGTGCGTCCGTCTCGAACGCCTCCCAGCGGGGCACATCCTGCAGGCGCGCGGCGGCCTCGCGCAGCGCCTTGAGATCCTCCTTGACGAGGGCCAGGTCATCCCAGTTCCGCTTGCTGCCCACGTTGAGCTTGATCAGGGGGGCGCATGGCGGCAAGCGCGGCGGCCAGCTCGCCTCGGTCCTCCGGCAACGGGTCGGCGACCAGGGTGAGCAGGTGTCCGACCTGCTGCGCCAACCGGTCGGACGGCAGGGCTCCGGCGTGCGCCTGCCGCAGGCGGGCGACCTGCCGTTCCAGCTCGGGCAGTTCGGCTTCCACCGCCTTACCCAGCGCCGCGTCGAGCACCGGACGGACGTGGCGCGTCCAGTCATCGACCGTCGTGCCTCCGAGCCGGTCGAACGCAGCCTGTACCTCGTCGCGGCGTCCGATCATCAGCGGCAGCTGCTCGCTCAGGGAGAATACGCCGAGTTCGCGTATCGCCAGGGCGCGCCCGTCGTCCGACTGCGCCGCGGCCTCCAGGGCGTCGAGGGCGGCGCCGATCCGCTCGTACTCCGCCTCGTCGTCGGGCAGGATGCGCGCCGCGGCGACCCCTCCCGCCGCCACCGGATGCTCGCGCAGCATCTGCAGGCACAGCGAATGGATCGTGCCGATCACCGCCTGATCGATGTCGCGGAGGTGGCAGGCCAGCTCGGCACGGCCGCGCACCTCGCGCCGCACCCGCTCGCGCATCTCGGTCGCGGCGGCGTCGGTAAAGGTGACCGCGGCGATCTGCGGTATGCGGCAGTCGGCGAGCAGCGCGACGTAGCGCTCGACCAGCACGCGCGTCTTGCCGCTGCCGGCGCCGGCAGCGACCAGGATGTCGGCGCTGCGGTCGCCGACCACGGCCGCCTGTTGCCGGGTCAGCGTTTCCATCGGCTGAACTGGTTGACGCGGCAGACGTGCTGGAACGCGCAGTACTTCGGGCAGGGTTGTACCTTGGGGCTGACGCTGAAGTCGCCGGCCTGCACCGCCTCGCGTACCTGGCCGGCGCGGGTCGCGATTCCGTCGATCAGCTCCCGGTCCGCCGCCACGTCCGAGTCGAGCTGCCACTCGGTGTGGCGCGTCCGCACCCACGCGTAGCGGGCGATGACCCGCTCAGCCTGCGCTTGCGCGCGGGCCAGATAGGCGTACAGGGGGAGCTGCACCCTGATGTGGGCGTCCACCTCCCTGCGGCTGATGGAACGGCCGGTCTTGTAGTCGACGACCACGGCCAGCCCCGGCGCGGTATCCAAGCCGGTCCAGGGTCGCCGCCACCGCCAGCGGCGGGGAAAGGGGCAACTCGGCCTCGATCCGGGACTCCGCGCCGCCCAGCGCGGTGATGCCGCTTGCGGAGGCCGACGCTCGGCCTCCGCCCGGAGCACTTCCTCCAGCCGCTCCAGCGCCGGTTCGCACTCGATCCGCCAGAGCCCGACCGGCCGAAACCATGCTCGTCCGGCGCCCGCTCCCAGATCGCACGGCCGCGGACGTGGAGGCGTGCGACGGCCGCGCCGACGGTCTCCGGCGCCAGCGGGGTGCGCGTCGCGACCAGGTCCTTGAGCGCGTCCTGCAGCATCGCGTGCATCACCGTGCCGCGGGTGGCGGCATCCGCCGCGTCCTGCTCGTCATCCAGCTCATACAGGCGGAGCGCGTAGCGTCCGAAGAACTGAAGCGCAGGTCAGGTAGCTCTCCAGCCGCGTCGCGCTCCACAGCGCCTGGCGGTCGGTCAGCTCGGGTCGCAGGCCGGCGCCGACCGCTCCTTCGAATGGCCGGCATGCACGAACGAGCGGCGCCGCTGCTCCACCTGCGCGGCCAGGCGCACGACCGCCCACGCCGCGCTCGCATCGGGCCGCGCCCGCCGGCCGCGGCTCCAACCGGCGGCACAGGCGATGGCAAGTTCGCGGCGGGAGGCCGCCTCGGCCGGGTCCGGCACCGCCGGCTCGGAAGGCGCGTCGCCCGCCGCTTCGTCGAAGTTGAGCGAGGCAGCGACCTGCCGGCCGCGCTCGTTGAGGTGCGTCCGCCACGCGGACAGCACCCCGTCGGCGCGGCTGCGCACTGAGTGCCACAGCTCATCCTCGGTGGGCTCGGGAGGCGGCGGCAGCTCCAGCCCGGCGTCGGCCAGCGCCTGCCGCGCAGCCGGAGACAGGAGGAGGGGCGCCTGGCGCGATGCCGGGAACTCACCCTCCACCAGACCGCCCGCCTCCAGGTAGGTGAGCCGCA